GGTGGCGCATGCCTGTAATCCCAGCTCCTCAGGAGGCTGAGGCAGGAGAATTGCTTGAACCTGGGAGGCAGAGGTTGCAGTGAGTCGAGATCACACCACTGCACTCCAGCCTGGATGACAGAGCGAGACTCCGTCTCAAAAAAAAAAAAGGAAAAGAAAAAGCCGAGCATGGTGACACACGCCTGTAGTCCCAGCTACATGGGAGGCTGAGGTGAGAGGATTGCTTGGGCCCAGGAGTTTGAGGCTGCAGTGAGCTGATTGTGCCACTACACTCCAGTCTGGGTGACAGAGTGAAACCCTGTCTCAAAAAAAAAAAAAAAAAAATTTCGGAGAGAGCCCATGTCCCCTTTATCTGGTTTCCCCCAATGGTAATATCTTACAAAACTATAGAACAGTATCACAACTAAGATGTTACCACTGATACAATCAAGATAGAGTGCATTTCATGATACCTTTTACAGACATCCACTTCCCTCCCACCCCTACCCTCTCAACCCCTGGCAAGCATGCAGGCATGGATCTGTTCTCCATCAGTTCTTATGGAGGTCAAAGGTAAAATTGGGTCCCTGGTTTAAAAAAAGAAAGAGATGGCTATAGACTGTGGCTTATGCCTGTAATCTCAGCACTTTAAGAGGCTGAGGCAGGAGGATTGCTTTAGCCTAGGAGTTCCAACATCAGCCTGGGCAACATAGGGAAACCTTGTCTCTACTGAAAAATAAAAAAAATTAGCCAGGCATGGTGGTACATACCTGTGGTTCCAGCTACATGGGAGGCTGAGGTGGGAGGATCACTGAAGCCCAGGAGTTGGAGGCTGTAGTGAGCCATGATCGTGCCACTGTACTCCAGTTTGGGCAACCAACAGAGTGATACCCTGTCTCAAAAATATTTTTAAAAATTATGATAAATGCACACAAATAGGGCACATGGACAAAGGATGATTGGGTGGGAAAGTTAGACATTTTAGGATTTCAGGCCATACAGAAAGACTTCCTTTTGGAACTGAATTCAGCGCTGTATTAGTCTGTTTTCATGCTGCTGATAAAGACATATCCAAGACTAGGAAGAAAAGGAGGTTTAATTGGACTTACAGTTGCAAATGGCTGGGGAGGCCTCAGAATCATGGAGGGAGGCGAAAGGCATTTCTTACATGGCGGCGGCAAGAGAAAATGAGGAAGATGCAAAAGCGGAAATAAAACCATCAGATCTCATGAGACTTATTCACTACCATGAGAACAGTATGGGGGAAACTGCCCGCATGATTCAGATTATCTCTCACCAGGTCCCTCCCACAACACCTGGGAATTATGGGAATACAATTCAAGATGAGATTTGGGTGGGGACACAGAGCCAAACCATATCAAGCATTACTTCTTGGATACACTGTGCCTTTAGAGGGCGTCTCCTGGTGTTAGTGTTCACAGTAATCTACCTCAGTTCCTCTGATTTAAATCTGGCTGTGTTTTGGTAATAACTGGTTTATTTGTTAGAGGCTGTGGTTTGTGCTCCAGCCCTCCTTACCTCGGAATGAGCTCAAGGGCTTTTTGACAGCCTTTGGGAAAAACATAGAGTCGGAAGGTGGAAGCTGGAGATGAGTTATTTGGCTTCTCTTGGAATGGATATTCTCAAAATGTTTGCTCAGCAATTAAGCAGAAGAAGCAAATGCTGTGTGGAAGAAACCTTACTCATCCAGTAAATCTCAATTCCGACTGAACTTAGACCTCCTTATCCACATGTGCCCCAGAGCAGTTAGATGTGCAGAGAGAGAATCACAGGAGGGAGCTGCCAGGCTTCTGCAGGGTAGTAACCGCCAGCCACATGTGGCTATTAAGTGCCTGAAGTGTGCCCAGTGTGACTAAAGAACTGAACTGTAACTACTTAATTTTGATATGAAATTTAAATAGCCATGTATAGCTCATGGCTACCGAATGGACAATACAGAGATTCCACATTGCCCATGTTGGGCTGTTTGAGTCACTCCACCCCTTTCAGTGGGACAAAGCTGAATTTAAAAAAGAAAGAGATGGCCATGCATTGTGGCACGAGCAAGGAGAGACCTTACAGCTTCCCCCAAGGTGCTCTGTAACCCCTTCCCCACCCAGCATCAGCCCTAAAACATTGCTGAGCAAACATTTTCAAACCACTAGTGTGAGGAGGAAGCTGCTAATTAGCCTGCCTGGACAGTGGCCACATCTGTGTCCAGCTGGGCCAGCACTTGGCTCACAGTACTGCTTACTTCATACTTCTCTAATGAGTCACACTCGACTTCTCTTTAGATTTGCAGGCTCATTCTTGGGGCCAGGTTAGGATTTGTTCTCTGCATGCATCACTGGGTTACAGCACTAAGACCAAGGTGTTACATTTCTTCCTGTGCCAGGGAAGCAGCACAGAAAAGCGGTAACTAAGAATGTGGGTCCTTTCAGCCAGATGTGAGAGATTAGAAAAAAAATTAATGTTTTTTAAAGTGGGTCCTGAAGTCAGTTTCTTGCATTGGAATCTGGCTTCAAGTGCCTCTGTTTCTACACCTGTAAGACAAGGATCATTACAGCGCCTCTGTCGTCATAGGGTGGTTGGGCTGAGAAAGTCTGAGCAGTGTACTTTGTCCTTGGTAGCTGCTCAATTATTACCTCTTATTATGATGATGCTGGTGATGATGACTGTGAACATGGTAATAAAGATTTTCTGGAAAGGTGATTTGAAGGTGTGACTCTCATGTGTGTCCATGAGAGGGCAGCCTAAAATCATGGATGTCTGCGGAACAAGCAGCCTCTGTAAAGCCTCAAGGTAATGTGGGCAGTTTCAGGTGTGTTTGGCCCTTTTTCTTCTCTGTTTTTCTTTTTTCCCTCTGTTTGAAGAGCGCTTTCAGCCATTTTCAGGCTTACTTTAGATATGGAGCAGGCCCATGAACACCTAGAGGGCAGCATGGGTGGTACAGAGCTAGGTTCAAGCCCTGCGTGGGTGGATGAGTTTGTGTAGGTGCCGATGAGAGCATCTGTCTAGGCTTTTCTTTATAACTTTTCACACAGAACTAATTCTTATTAATCAGACTCTTGAGGTAGACACTAGAACCTGACTGTGTTTAGAGAAAAAAGAAACCTGACTTTCTATGTTGTTCCCCTTCCACAACTTCACACCTGCCTCTGAGCATTGTGTGCATGTGTTGGGGCCACCATGTAAGGGGACAGTGGCCGGAGCTGTATAGACCCAGAGTTGCATCAGCCACACATGGCTCTGGAACACACCAGGGGAGACTGAGTTACAGAGAGAGCAGAATAAGAGTCCTCAAACCATGTGGGAGCACAGAGCATCACAGGGCTGGGGGACTGTGGGGGTCTTGAAGATGGGCAGGGTTTAAACAGGTGGAGCAAGGTAGAATAAGGGATGGCATGAGCTAGAAGGTGCATGGGAGAAAGGGCAGTGCTGAGGTGAAGTTGGGAAAAGAGTTTGGGGTCAGATTGGGGGGTGGCTGGAATGAGCTGAGGAGTTGGCCTTTAAATTTTTGATGACATTTATATTGTTGATAGTGTCATAATGATTAAGAGATGACTAAAACCAAAATGGAGAATGGCACTTGGATTTTTCTAGTACTTATCTCATTTTAATATCCCTGATATGTAATCTAGGCTGCAAAACCAGATGTAAGTGGGGAATCATGACAATCCAGTGTTTGTCACGCCATCCCCCTTCCTCATTCCCACTGCCTACACTGTGGGCGAGGCCTTCAGGCCTCCCTCCTGAACAGCAGCAGGAACCTCCTTAGAAGAAGCACAGGTTGCTGTGGCAGCAAGGCACATTATGATGCCAGCTTGTGATACTCCCAGAGAGGAAGGCACAGATGCTGGTGAAGTGAACCTGGTTATATTAACATGAAAACTGACTTATACAGAATGGTGTGCTTAAATATTATATAGATAATACACTGGGTCCAGTTGTAACAGAGTACAGTTATTTCTAATCCTAAAATGACCATGAAGATCCATTTAATCTTTAGAAAGCCCTTTAGGGTTCTGCAGGGGTTGTTGGTTGGAGATGAAAAGCTTCCGGGATATTTCTCAGACATTTTGGGGGAAGTTGTCATTTGTTCCATCTTATTTGTTGTAGATATTTGGATGATTCTAAGATACTAAGATTGACATTGGCACAAACTTGGCAGAACCAAAATTGAACTTGAGTGTTGTCTTTCATGGTGCTCACCCAAGGAGCTCATATGTTGGCTCCTTTCAGAAAGTAGGCCGGGCACGGTGGCTCACGCCTGTAATCCCAGCACTTTGGGAGGCCAAGGTGGGCGGATCACCTGAGGTCAGGAGTTTGAGACCAGCCCGGCCAACATGATGAAACCCTGTCTCTACTAAAAATACAAAAGCCATGCGTGGTTGCACGCACCTGTAATCCCAGCTACTCGAGAGGCTGAGGCAGAAGAATCGCTTGAACCTGGGAGGCAGAGGCTGCAGTGAGCTGAGGTTGCTCCACTGCATTCTAACCTGGGCGACAGAGTGAGACTTTGTCTCAAAAAAAAAAAAAAAAAAAAAAAAAATATATATATAGTAAAATGTTCAGTGTCTGTGTAATGAACAGTATTCAAAATTTTGTCCATTTTTGTGCTTCTCCTCTCTCCCAGGTGGTCCTGCTTCAGGCCTGGGAGCCTGACTAGACGAGGCCTAGTGGGCTTCTCTGCACACTGCCAGGCCTCTCTGTCACTTACTGTACTTTCTGACCCCTTGTCTGCCTAGGGGCAAAGGATTAGGAAAGGGGCTTTGTCCTCTGGGGCTGATGTTGGCCCAACTACAGGACAGCTTGGCAGGTGCATGCGAAAGTGGTAGCTGCTGCCCCTTGGCTGTGTGTGTCATGGAGAGTGACAGATTGGACCTCCTTTGGTTGAAATAATGGGGATGGATGATATGTGCATGCAGTCAGACTCAGGTGCTGTGCCCAGTTGCTTATAGTACTTAGCAGATAGGGAAAGAGTGAAGAACTGAAACATCATCTAGTTTTCTCCTTTGTAGGCATGGAGGGATTTTTGAAATCAGATGAGAGGCAGAGATTGGCCAAAGAAAGACGAGAAGAAAGAGAAAAATGTCTGGGTAAGTTATGTACTTTAGCTATTTCGGTCCAAGGGAGTGGAGATATGGCGGTGTCTCTTCTGTAGAGTCTTAGAAATTTGTGAACGAATGGGAAGAGAACTAGGACAATTGCTGGGTGAACCTACTCTGCAACTGGCATGTTCACAAATAGGTAATTCTCAGAACAGTTCACTCGGCAAACATTGAACCTCTGCTGTGTTCTAGCCACTGTGTTAGGGTCTGCAGATATGATATTGAAGAAAGAGAAACAGTCGCTGTCCCTGACCTAAGGAAGTCCTAACACCTTCAAGTGTCAACTGTGTACACTCCCTCAGGTTCTCTCTTGGGAATCTAAAAGGGCCATCCTCAGCAGAACTGAGAAAATCAGCACTTGAGTCATTCTGTATTTTAGGACAGAAGGCCCTGGTTGAGAAAGGCTGTCTTGCCTCTTGCAGGTTGTAGACAGATTAGTGCAGAGTGTTCTTCACAGGATGCTGAGGGAGATAGCGTTTCCCCACTGCATTGAGACAAATGAGGAGCTTTCAGGTTCTTCTCTTCTTCACTGCCCGCTGCTGGTCGGTACAAGCATTGCCTCCTCCAGGGAACCCTTCCCTGTCTTGGCTAGGTGGAATTAAGGGCCCCTTAGTAAATGCCTTCAGGGTAAGGCAAATTTTATTCATGTGTTTTACCCCCGACCTAGCTCAATGTCTGGTGCTTGGTGCACACACAGTTAACCTGCTTTTGAATGAGCATACCCTTATAAGCATCATTGCTCAACCTAGCATATAGTTTAGCCATTGTGCACAAGTTTGACTTAATGATAGCCATCATAGTCATAGCTCCCACGTCGGGAGGCACTTACTGTGTACTTCACGGTCATCATCTTGTTCGATCTTCACAACACTGTGATGTGGCAAACATGACTGTCCCCACATTGTAGAGGAGGAAACCGAGGCAGAGGTATGATCTAGCTAACATGCTTAGGGTTACCCAGCTAGTGGCGGAGGTACCAGAACCCTTTATCTCAATCAGTGCATCCTAGGATCCTACCAGGCTCTTTTTAGGGCTCTGCTCTTGCTTCCATGTTTTTGGTCTTAATCCAAACTGCATGGGGTGCTCTGGTAATGACATCTCTCTTCTGCTTTCCTTCCCCAGCTGCTCGGGAGCAACAGATCCTGGAGAAACAGAAAAGAGCCAAGCTCCAGTACGAAAAGCAAATGGAGGAGCGATGGCGAAAACTGGAAGAGCAGCGGCAGCGGGAGGACCAGAAGAGGGCTGCTGTGGAAGAGAAAAGGAAACAGAAGCTCCGGGAGGAGGAGGTAAGGCCCAGGTGCACCCTCCGCCACCTCCCAGCCCCCTCAGCAGGGTGCTCAGAGTGCCTGGGCATCCTGCCCAGCTCTGGGGTAGGAAAGAGACCTGCCGTGCACCTTCTCCTTGGTGGCTCCCATGCCTTCTTTCAGCAGCATGACATGAAACTGGAAGCAGCACCAACATAGAACCACAGAGACTTACCCATTCAACTCAGGTGTTAATTTGCTGTGTGATCTTGGGCAAACTGGTTGGCTTCTCTGGGCCTTGATTTGTGTGTCTGTGAAGTGAGAGGGTTGGATTTGGCAGTCTCCAATGCCTCTTCTAGTCATAACCTTTTCTGATTCTAAGACTCAAAGGGTCCCTGGTGGTCTAGTAGATGGGGGAATAAAAAAAGACTCAGAGGAGATTGTGGATAGCAGCTGGGTGGTGTGAATCTGAGGGTTACAGATGGGAGTTCATGCCTCCAGGGCAGACACAAGGCCAGAACAAGAGCTGTGAGGTTGAGAACATTGTGATCCTGTCAGTTGCTACTGGCAAATTAGTCTACCCTCAAATACCAAGATGCTAGTATATTTAAATTTCAATGTAGTTCTTTACTTTAATTGCTCTTTCCAGTTACCTTTTAAAAAAGAGATGGCACATAATTACCCCTACAGAGTTCTTTATTACTAAATTTTGAAAATATATTTAGAAAGCATATTTGGATTATAGATTTTCTTCACGATTATATTTTTAGGATGTAATAAAAACCTTATGTCAGTTGATGATAATTTTTTATTCATAAGGTATAATGATTCATCTTTTAGTATGAACAATATAGAGGTTTGGTAATCTCCAACACTATAGTATATAAAGATGTTTGTACAAATTTAGTATTTTTTAAAATCTCTGAACGGTTGTTTATCACTATATATATTTACCCCTTCCTTTTTTTTTTTTTTTTTAAAAAAGAACACATACGAAAACACACAGAATCAGATCCGTCTTGCCCAAGAAGCACCCTTTCGTGGTGATTTCTTTCCTCCTCTTAGGAAATGAGGTCTAAGCCAGTGTCTTAGCTATGGTTCACCGTTACTGGCTGCAGTCTGATTGCTGTGCCTTCATCTACTCCCAGTTCAAATGTCAGCTCAAATGCCAGCTCTACCACTGAGCAACTGGTGGCCAGGGGCAAGTCACATGCCCCTCTAACTCTGTCTCCTTAGCCCAAAACAGAGGTAGTTACAGGAATTAAAAGAGGTGACTTTTGTAAAAGTGCCAGCAAAGCACCTAGCACAGAGTAATCACTCAGGAATGTTACATTCTGTTTAGTTACTTCAGCTGAGCCTAGCTAAAGCAAGGTCAAGAGGGAGCTACTCACAAAAGCTTATGAAACAGAGTCAGTAGATGGGAAAAAGCCACAGTGTATATAATAGGCTGTTTTGGTAACTTGGGACAGATTTCTCCTTTCCTCCCTTGTGTGTTTGTCAAGAGTTGCTGGACTCACCCATTTTCTTCCTATCCTCCATTCCTTGATGACTTAGAGCTTGTCCTCTTCCTCCATGATGTCTCCATTTTGAAAGCTTGTCACTGCTGCTTCAAGGAAGGGGTACTGTGAAGTCACATAAGATACTTCCCGTGCTCTGACGTATGCAATGTCACTGGGGCTGCTTTTGAGGCAATTTCTGTTTATAATTTTTCTCTACAGAACATTAGTACTAGAGGCATGTTAAATTAAGTAGTCCAGCTCCCCCTTCTTGGAGGTGAGAGAGTTTTATGCCATATGATGCAGCTGAATCTTTTGTGGTTTCCCTTCTGGGTAATTTTCTATTTGTGTGCTTCCTTGCACCCCAAATGTGGTGGAGGGAGGCAGGAGGCTGCCCGATTGACCCTTGTCAGCCCAAGCTGAGCTTGGTTCCCTCTTCTCCCTAGGCACAACAGGGCAGGGCTGAGGGCTGGGCCCCCTGTGGTTGTGTAGCAACCCAAGGAAACAGCAGCCTCCCTCTGCCACCTGCTCCTGCCCTCAGGTTCCCAGGGGACCCAGGTGTAGCTTAGGGACTTGCCATACACAAGCTGGCTCGTTAGTTACATTGGGTCTCTAGCTGGTTGGAAAGTGTTTGTGTTGCCCACCAAATCCTGCCTCTCTGGGTCTGATACTTAGAAGCTCATGAGAGGCCTGTTGACCCCATCCCAGCCCTGTCCTGGCTCTGTATCTCTGTGGTTGCTGTGATGTCACTCTTGATAACCCCTCATGTCTATGCCAGGGCAGAAGTGGGTACCACCAATGGCCTGACTCTCAGAGGTCTCCAGAGTTGGCAGAGGTAGAAACTAGTCAGGCCTGTCCCAGGGAGGGGATGGGGTGGTTCTACTGTCCACTTGACACCCTGACCTTAAACTCATTATCTTGCTGGAGGCCACCTACCCGTAAGGTGAGTTCTTAGAACCTTCACGTGCCACACAACTCCCAGGAACCGAGCTACCAGAACAAGTTCCTGTCACCTGTGTTTGGGCTGACAACACAGTATGCCCACCCATTCCCAGGGCAGTATATCTTCCTGACCAGTGGCCCTGGAAAATTTGATTTGGAAAAGCCATCTTCATGTTCCTTATGCTAAACAGAAAAGAGAAAGGCCTCTTTCTTTCTTTCTCTCTCTCTTTCTTTCTTTATGTCTTTTCTTTTCTTTTCTTTTCTTTCTTTCTTTGTCTCTGTCTGTCTCTCTCTGTATCTCTCTCTCTCGTCTGTCTGTCTTCACACATCCCTGCTGAGGACCACTTGGGGTGTGTCCCTGCAGTGTCATCCCCAGAACACATGTAATGGGCCGGGCACGGTGGCTTATGCCTGTAATCCCAGCACTTTGGGAAGCCGAGGCAGGTGGATCACCTGAGGTCAGGAGTTCAAGACCAGCCTGGCCAACATGGTGAAACCCCATCTCTGCTAAAAATAAAAAAATTACACAGGCATGGTGGTGCTCGCCTGTAATCCTAGCTACTTAGGAGGCTGCAGTGAGAGAATCACTTGAACCCAGGAGGTGGAGCTTGCAGTTAGCAGAGATCGCACCACTGCACTCCAGCCTGGATGACAAAGCAAGACTCCATCTCAAACAAACAAAAAAGCATATAATGGCAGTTGAAGAGGCCCAGCCACCCCTACCACCCATTCCTGCCAGAGACTGCTGTCTGAGTAACAGTGTCTGGAATGTGCCCTGCTGGCGACCTTTAATACTGTTCAGCCAGTTCAGGGGGTCACCTTGGTGGTGATTCTCCAAATTCATCCAGACAGATCTAAAGCCAGAGCTCAAGACATCAAGTGTGAGGCTGGCTGGCTTCCTTCCTTCCTTCCTATCTCCTCTCCCCTTTCCCTTCCCCTTCCCCTTCCCCTTCCCCTTTCCCTTCCCCTTCTCCTTCCCCTTCCCTTCCCCTTCCCCTTCCCTTCCCCTTCCCCTTCCCTTCCCCTTCCCTTCCCTTCCCTTCCCTTCCCTTCCCTTCCCTTCCCCTTCCCTTCCCTTCCTTCCCTCCCTTCCTTCTTTCCGTCTTTCCTTCCACTAAGCCCTACCTAATAGAGGAGATTCTAGGGACAAGGATTTGCCTTGCCCTTTCCCCATCCTCTGCTGATCATCAGATGATACTCAGGAGAACCAGAACTTGGCAGGAATTGCAGTATGCAGTTCTGATATTTATTTATACTGTTTTTCTAATGTGATGGAACTTTCTCATGCTCACTTTCTCATGCTCAGCCTTTCCTCTAACCAGTGGCTCTTGCTTGGGCGTCCCATGACCAGCAGCACCTGGGAACTTGTTAGAAATGCAGATTCTCTAGGCCGGGCGCGGTGGCTCAAGCCTGTAATCCCAGCACTTTGGGAGGCCGAGACGGGCGGATCACGAGGTCAGGAGATCGAGACCATCCTGGCTAATACGGTGAAACCCCGTCTCTACTAAAAAATACAAAAAACTAGCCGGGCGAGGTGGCGGGCGCCTGTAGTCCCAGCTACTCGGGAGGCTGAGGCAGGAGAATGGCGTAAACCCGGGAGGCGGAGCTTGCAGTGAGCCGAGATCGCGCCACTGCACTCCAGCCTGGGTGACAGAGCCAGACTCCGTCTCAAAAAAAAAAAAAAAAAAAAAAAGAAATGCAGATTCTCAGCAGACTCCACCCCAGACCTATTGACTCAGAAACTCTGGGGATAAACCCCAGGGTTTTAACAATTTCTCCAGGGGATTCTTCTACCTGATCTCTCAGATTTGAGAACTATTGCTGTAAATGGTCCTGATAAGAATCTTCCTCTTAAATTCAGATTCACTTAGCTTTTTTAACGATTTACTGCATACTAGTCATTATCCCATAGACTTAGAGTGACCTGGTGATGTAGGTAAGCTCATCCCCATTTTACAGGCAAGGAAACTGAAGCCCAGGACTGAAATGATTAGCTCAAGTTCACAGGGATAAAAAGCGGCAGGCAGAGGTGGGATTTGAATCCTTACCTCCTGACTCCATATCTGGGATATGGAGTCCCATATGAAGGAACAAAAAGATACACACAGACATGAGGCAATACTGACCTATACAGGACTAACATTAAATAAGACTTGTGCACTGGACAACTTTCGTTTTCTGTATGTGTGAATCACCCCATTCTGACTTTTTGGGGTTCCATAAATCCTCTTCTCTAAGAACTTGGTTATCATCTATTTCTCATCAGCTCTCCAAAAGTGGGTGATACAAAGTGAGTGTGTTTTTCTCTCAGGGACAGCTGTGTTTTCATCAGCTACCTCAAGGTCTGAAGGAATGAATCTCCAGTGGTGGGATTTGGAGCAGCTCAGTCGGCTGGGGATGGATGGCAGGGGTAGTTTTTCTAGAGGCCACTGAAAAGTCCAGGGGCAGGTCTGGCTTTCAGTGAGCACTCATTCCCTTACAACGATGCCTCCCAGATAGCTGATCAGTGGTCAGGCTGGTTCAGTGAAGCTCACTGTTCTTTGTTCTCATCGGTCCTCTAGTATAGAAGGGACCACATTTTGAGGTCCTTCTGGCATGTAGGAAATCTACCGTAACCCACCCAGTACTTAATTCACTCTAGGATGAAAGGTTTCAACACTTCAGTTAGGTCATTGGTTAAACACTTTATGTTAAAACCATATAATGAAATACTATTCAGCCCCATTCTCGAGTGGCTGTACTTCAGGCATCACATGGCAGAGTTCTCTTCCCTCCAAGCCCCAGCTTTTATCAGGCAGACTGTCAGAGTTGGCCATCATCATTTAATGGGCCAGGGTCGTGAGGACTGGACTCTGCCAAGGCATGCATACTCATGATTGTAGAGTCTCAGGCCAAAAACAAGAGCACAGTTAATAGCTAATACAAATCTAAGACTTACAGGAGGTAAAAATCCCCCTTTCTGCTCACAGGTCCCTGGAGAGGCAGTCCCTTAGCAAAGTGCTATTCAGAGAAAAATTATGCAGAGGAGGCTGAGATGTGAAGAAGCCAGATCCTGATCTCATCCCTCTGGTATAGAGAGAAGGGATAAATCCAGATACCTATTAAATGGCCTTTATATGTTTCTAGTAAGTGTGACATAAAGGAGCCTTTTCCTCATCTTTAAGTCATGGTTACTCAGTTGATGCTGTCCTAACTTAATTTTGCTTCTGGGTGTGTTTCTTTAAGCCATGAGACAATTGTATCTTTTTGTTTTGGAGTCAGGCTACAATTAACCTAATTCCTGGAGCATCTCAGGGTTGGGCTTTATGAGGGCAAAAGAGTGTCATTATAACTGCTAGCTCAGGCCTTCTCCAGTGGAGATAGGGAGAGGAGTTGGTATTTGCAGTATCATGGAGGTGGTGGGGAGTGCAGAATTGGAGCACCTTCACTGCAGCACCAAGGACAACTTTATGAAAGTAACAATTTGGGTAATACAGGAGAGTGTTTTTGATAAATACTGTTACAAGAGAAGCCAAAGCCTAATGGTTGTTTTTCTCTTCCGGTTAAAAATTATTGGGTTCTGCCTCCCTGCCTCCTGTACATACGTAACTGTGAATGCATGGATGCTTTATTTTGTGGCCAGAAGGTTCTTTACTCTTGCCTCTTGAAAATTATGAAATATGCAATATTATCCCAGATTACTATATAGCAGAAAATTGTCACACTATGTAAAACAGTTGGTTCCCCTTTAAGAAGTTCTAAGATGAAAATGCAGCTTTGCAAAATAGATCTCAGTGTCATGTATCGCCCCAAAAACTCAAATTATATTTCCATTAAAATTTTCTCAAAGCAAAATGTTTTATACTTTTAACTAGAAAGGATGATCTTGGTTCTGGAGCAGAATTCCAGCCCTCCTGGATAGGGCAAAGTGGCTTGAGATAGGCCTCAAGGAGTTAATGCTTATTGGGCATTATTCCTAGGGCAGCTTCTCCCCGGAGAGGGGAGGGGACAGGACGTGCAGTGTTTGGGTTGAGAACCAGTGCTAGCCTAGCCGCATTGTTTACTCTTCACCTACCCAGAACACGCTGGTGTGGCAGAGAGAGCACGTATGCCTGGATTTTGGATGCTGAGCACAGAAAGCCCCATTTGGTGACTCACACCATGCACTGAGGCAGCAGGCAGTGTGGTGGGGCCAGCTAGTTAATCTTGTTAACACTCGCGTTACATGAACTGTGTAGGAACGGCTGGAGGCGATGATGCGCCGGTCCCTGGAGCGCACACAGCAGCTGGAGCTGAAAAAGAAGTATTCGTGGGGAGCACCACTGGCCATTGGACCTGGAGGACATGATGGTGAGTGTAGAGTTGCCCCTGTATTTCAGGTCCCGGGTGGGAAATAATGGAGCAGGCAGGGGATCATGGGCACCGCTGGGTGTCTCCAGGATCTGGGGGATGCTTTGTACAGCTTTTCAGAGGCACCACGTTCAGATGTGATGTTTAAAACTGCCAAGATTCCTATGCATGCGTTTGTTACGAAGGGGATCTATGCATTCTTCTTGATAGCAAACAGCAGTTGACACAAAAACTGGGCTTTGAGGGAGAGCAAAAGAAAAGACTTTGAACGCAGAGCCCAGTGAGCTGGGCCCAGCTGACAAGCCCAGGGCTGGTCTGACTTCAGGGGAGGGAAACGACAGGAGACTCTGTTACTGTTCCAGATGTGATCAGGAAAAGCAGAGTGGCAGTTACCCTCCAAAAAGGGCTGGACTATTTCCTGCTTCATTTTAAATTTTTGTTGCTTTTTCGACTTTGTTTGAAGGTGACTTATTTCATTACCAGTTCATACTCATCTTTAAATTTTCAAATCTATAATTTAATGTATGGATTGTTACTAGTCTCTGGATGGCTTTTCCTTCTTTTCAGTGTCTCACTACATTTCAGCGATCTTAGCATTCTATTATGCGGGAGGTGTGTACTAGCTCTATCTGAGAGCAAATGCATTTGAGTTTACAGGACAGTTCTTGACTTTGCTGTATTGTGCTTTTAACCTTTGGGCAGTAAATATACTTTATTTTTTCTTTTTTGAAAAGCCAACAACGCATTTCAGTTACTTTTTCTAATTTCCTAATTAGAAACTAAGAAGCAACAAGAAATTGGGACTTTTTTCTTTTACCTCTCTTTGCTCTGATTTTTTGCTGTGTAGGTGAATCAGAAAATACCCCACCCCCTCCTCTAGGTTTAGCAGCCAGCACCCTCCCTCCGGATGCAGGGACCACTGCCGCAGCTGCCGAGTCCACCAACGGTATATCCGAGCATCACTGTGCCATAGCATTTTGTGATAACTGTTCTGATCACCCTCCTCCATCACCACGTCTGTGTCAAGCACTTTTACAACTGATTTCTTAGTCTGGCCTGTTACAATTTTTTTTTTTTTTTCTAGCAACGTGAATGACATACCCATATTTTTTTGTTCCTCTGTCATTATAGAGTGGTGCATGCCTTACATCTTAGTGCCCTGGAGACATTTTATCCTCAACTCACTAATGTCTGCCTTGAAAATCTTGTCAGTGTTGGATTTTTGCACATTCAGATCTTTTAACAATCTCTTCATCATCTGTTGTAGACATTAAGTAGTAGGGCATTCTGATTACTTCTGGTTACCAAAACCTGTATTCACCCAGAGTTCTGAATGGAAAACTTGGGCTTAGTGTTAAAGTGATAGATTCCTGGAGAGGTGTTTGAGAGGGAGTGGTAGGGAGTTTATCAGTGCTAATACTGGGAATCCAAATAATTAGATAATTTGGCTTTGTGCTTGATTTTATCTCTCTGTCTAATAGGCTGTTTTATATACAGGCCTGGGAAACTCCTGTGGTCTAGATCAAGGACAGAACTAGCCAAACTTTGTTCCCATTTAATAATGACTTTAGAAATTCAATCCATCTGTAACTGGCAAAAAAAAAAAAAAAAAAAAAAAAAAGATGTAAAAGGGATGCAGTATTTACCAGCAATGCAGAAGGTCATATTAGCAGCAGGAATCAATATCCTTGGTTTCTGACATTCCTTTGACAATTAATAATCCTTACTGGGGGTGCTTCGTAACAGCAATTTTGCTGCACAAGCAGAGTTACCTCTAGCATGGGCACTGGCATTCCCCCTAAGAAAGGTGCAGGAGGGCCAGGCATGGTGGCTCGTGCCTGTAATCCCAGCACTTTAGGAGGCCGAGGCAGGCAGATCAGTTGAGATCAGGAGTTCACCTGGCCAACATGGTGAAACCCCGCCTCTACTAAAAATACAAAAATTAGTCAAGTGTGGTGGCGATTGCCTGTAGCCCCAGCTACTCAGGAGGCTGAGGCAAGAGAATTGCTTGAACCCGGGAGGCAGAGGTTGCAGTGAGATCGTGCCAGTGCACTCCAGCCTGGGTGATGGAGCAAGACTCCGTCTTAAAAAGAAAAGAAAGTTGCAGAGAGATGGAGTAATCACCCACTGGGAATCACCACCCAAGGCCCGGGCCAGGGTGAAATGAGTATAGTACTTGACTAGAGCACACAGTTTAAGGGAGTGCCAAAAATCTCAGTAATAAAGATAAAATAATATCTTAATGTGATATTTTTAAAATCAAAATTAATGCAAAACAATCCATAATAAACAACACATTTCTAAAGGCCAGTGCCATGCTGAGCATATCAGAGCCTGAAGCAAAAGGGAAAATGTGCACCTCTATATACATGATTTTATGTAATTTCTAATGTTTAATTTTTTCAAAACGCTAAAGTAGTTTAAAATATGGAAAAATGGAAAAGTAGGAGTATTAAAACTCACATTTCAACTTTAAATACTTTATTTCTATGCAAATCAAATTTATTGTACTTTTACTTCAGCTTTAGTTAATTAAAAATTTTGGGGCCAGGTGCAGTGGCTCACGCCTGTAATCCCAGCACTTTGGGAGGCTGAGGCCGATCACAAGGTCAAGAGATCAAGACCATCCTGGCCAACATGGTGAAATACCGTCTCTACTAACAATACAAAAATTAGCTGGGCATGGTGGCGAGTGCCTGTAGTCCCAGCTACTCAGGAGGCTGAGGCAGGAGAATCACTTGAACCCGGGAGGCGGAGGTTGCAGTGAGCTGAGATCGTGCCACTGCACTGTAGCCTGGGAGATAGAGTGAGACTCCATCTCAAAAAAAAAAAAAAAAAAAGAAGAAGAAAAAATTATTTAAGATTGTCATTTGGTCAGCAGAAATTATAGAACATGGCAGTTCTCATAGCAGTTCTCATGTGAAAACAAGATGAGCAGAGGAGTAGATTTTGAAAATATTATTGATGACTTTGCTTTTTCTACAACCAAGAGCACACATTTTTCTTTTGGCCTCAGGCTTTAACATAGCTCGACAGGGCACTGTCAGCATCTCTTTGTTTGCTATAATGGTTTAATTTAGAGACCAGTCTGAAATAATGACTGAAATAACGACCTTGAGAACACCAAACTCAAGGTCGCCTGTTAAAATCCTAACCTCAAACAGTTAAAGCATTTGCGAAAGGGCCATTTTGATCTGTCTCTTACTAAGTAAGAAAAGGAAAACCAACTGCTAAAGAGGCTGTTCTGCTTTAAATACAACTCCGAGAGGACGGATTTCCTCTCTCTCCAACCTGAGCTATAGATAACCTTCATAAAAGAATCAGTTTCAGCAAGCAGTGACAGTCAGACCATAAGGCGTTTTCCAGTGGTTGGTGATTTGTCTCTGGGTCCAAGTTGGTTTTGTTTTTGTGTGATGTGAGCATGCTCAAAAATTCCTAGACAAAAGAAAATGATTTGTTGGTGGGATTAACATGGCTTTAGTTGAACAGTTGAGTAAGGTTGAACATTTGAAATTGAAGATGACAACACAGTGAAGAAATTGCAGAGATCTTGCTGCAGACCAAGGGCTGCTGTAGCCTGGGCATTTCCAGATTAGGATAATGAGATGCCAGGATGATGAAAGCAGAGCATGCTGTGCCACAGCATTTAGGAGGTGTGTGGATGAGGACAGGAAGGACACTACGGGATATGTGTTTCTCGGTTCTACAGTAGTGTGATGAATACCAATGTCTTTAATGCATTTCTCTGCAGCATGTGACAAACTTTCAACATCAACTATGAATTTGCCAAAGCCGACGGAGCCTCCCATGAGTAAACGCCTGTCTTCATCCACCGTGGCAATATCCTATTCCCCAGACCGAGGCAAGTGAATGTGTAGACTTGGTCTCTCCAGTTTGTTTCTTTTCTGGTGTGAGCATCTTAACTTTGGTCTTTGTGAGAGCCTCCTCTTGAGCCTTCTGCAGATACCATCATTGTCCTAGTCTTGTGGTCTGAATGTGGGAGCCCTAGGGCCTTGTCGATGGGACTTTGGAACGTGGCATGGCTCTTTAGAGCCAGGTCGTTGTTGAATAGAGGCAAGAATTAATGCAGCCTCCCAGTCTGAAAGAGACTGTTCTGTTTTCCACATTGCATGTAGGAGTTAGCCCGCCCAGGAATTAATTAACCAGTGGGCAGATGTGACCATTAAAGTAACTGCCTGGTCAATGATGGAATACAGTTGATTAACCAGAAAGAGCAGAATTGATAAGTTATAGTTACATAGGAGGCTTAGATATGTGAAAAAATGGGGTTCTGCCATCATCTGTGGTTTATAGGCCTGCCCATTTTGTAGATGAAAAGAGAAGCACAGAACTAATGAGGCCTCTAAAAGAGGAAAAGAATGGGTGGCACTCTGTTTTGAGTTGGGAGATGATGTGTATGGGACGTGTGCCAGTTCCAGAACCTGAGGAGATTTAACACGGTCTGCATTCTCACAAAGGCTCAGATAAGTCACTGAAAGTCTGTTTATACCTTTCAGAGTATATAGGTTAAGGAAATAAGGGAAGCTCTCCATGCACTAAATGTTTATTCTAAAGCAACACTGAAGAAGTATCAGGTGCCAGTGGAGTGTTTAGCACAAGTTATCACCAAGGGCAGAGCAAGAGGCTGGTTGCGACTTGGCAGAGGCTGGTGTGCCTTCCTGGTTGTTTCCACTGACACTGACCTTGTACCTCTATCCCAGAGGCATGTTATGTGTGTCAGAGACCCTATAAGGTTTATAACGCTACTGATCTGTGATGCAGTTCATGGTAAGCACCAGGAACCTGGAAGTGATGAAGAGCCGAATACAGAGTGAGGGAAAAGTTAATTCATTGCCATATATAATACATTCTAAACTGATATAAATATTTTGGTCATTGACTTCTAGATTATGAATACTACTATCTTTCATTACAGCTGATAATCAGTTGGCTGTTTGTATTTTTGTGCCTCTCACTTAATTTTTACCCTTATTGACATGTAAAAAGTATGAAAATATATATTTTTATACTATTACAGGATGACATTTTATTTAAAAATCAGTGTGTTATGAAATGTTTCTTAGCACAGGACCTAAAACAAGTGTTTTATAGGCATAATTTTTTTCTACTTGGAGTAAAGGGATTTTTTTTTTTTTTTTTTTTTTTGAAACAGGCTCTCTGTTGCACAGGCTGGAGTGCAGTGATACAATCTTGGCTCACTGCAGACTCTGCCTCCTGGGCTCAAGCCATCCTCTCACTTCAGCCTCAAGTAGCTGGGACTACAGGTGCACATCACCATGCCCAGCTAATTTTTTTGTATTTTTTGTAGAGACGAGGTTTCGCCATGTTGCCCGGGCTGGTCTCAAATTCTTGAGTTCAAGTGACCCGACTGCCTTGACCTCCCAAAGTGTTGGGATAACAAGCATGAGCCACCATGCCTGGCCATAAATGATTTCCTGAGTCCATATTACATCTGGGAGGTGGGCTAATTCTCTGAGTGATACAGGTCACTGTACTGCAATAGCATATTGAATGGATTCTGGTACCTCGTGACAATTAATGCACTTTCCCAAACTCTAAAGGACACATTATTTGTTTTATTTTACTATGACAAATTCCAAATCCATCCTTTGTTCAAATATTTTTATTTTCCATGTTCTGCCACCCAAAAGTTAATTTGCACCATGCATTGTGTTATTTAAACGTTTTATTTTGTTTTGTTTTAATTTTGCTTTTTAAAATTTTCATTTGATTCCATCCCTCAGCTCATCGCATGCACCTTAGTCCAATGGAAGCCATTCTTGTTTCGCGACTGTTGACACCCACACAGTCTTCTTTAGCCAGAAGCAGAGCTTCAGTCATGCTCTCTGGGCAGGCCAGTGATTCAGGTAAAAGAGGCTAAGCTGGTAACACCAGGGAAAATGCCCAAAGAGGTTTTGGTCAGCCTAGGATTTACTCCTGAATTTTTGGATTTTGCTTCCTATTTGCTGGCTTTGTGAAATGTCTTCATTGGTTAATAACGTCTTCTACCAGTGTTTTACTGTTTTATGTTTCTTTTGAGTGTCACAGAGGTGAGTAAATTATTTTATGAGTGAGAGCATATACTTTAGGGGAAGAGAAACCCACTTGATGAACTCTGCAGGTTAGTAGACTTCAGAGATGATGTGGCAAAATAGCCTGTAGACCAGTCTGGGGAGTCCCATAGCCAGCTCTGCCATTCACTAGCTCTCACCATTGGGGGTAAGTTAATTAACTTCTTTAAGCCTCAGTTTTCTCATCTATAAGATGGAGCTATTTAAAATTATTGTGAGGATTAAATGAGAGAGTGCACGCAAATGAGATAGCACAATGATTAGCACAGAGTAAAAGCTCAACAGAAGTTTAGAGCTTCACTACTGAAAAAGTGATCCATCGACCAGCAACGGCAGCAGCATCTAGGAGCTTGGTTGGAAGGCCCCACCCAACCTGCACATTGAAGTCTGAGAAACACTGGACCAGACCATCAAAGCTCTGCCTTTATCAAAGCAGATCAAGTCATCATGTCAGGATTCGTGGGGGCTGGGATTCTCTTTGTTTCCAGATGAGCAGCACTGTGTCCACCTAAGGTCAGGTCTACTCTCTGTTCTCAAGATAGTGTACTCAGTGTGATGATACATAAATGACATAAAACTTCTGCCTAGTTGTAGCTGCTTCCAAACAGTTATACTGTTTCTGCAAAGAAGTTGTACAGATAGCTAATAAGTTCATAAGATGCTCAACATCATTAATCATTAGGGAAATGCAAATCAAAACCATAGTGGGTTGCCACTTTACACCCACTAGGATGACTACAATTTTTTTAAAAGGGGAAATAACCACATGTTGGTGGAGGTGTGGAGACACTCTTCCCTCACACACTGCTGGTGGGAATGTGCAGCTGCTGTAGAACATGGTCTGACAGTTCCTCAAAAACTTAAGCATGGAGTTGCCTTACGACCCAGCAATTCCACTTCTAGGTATACAGCCAAGGAAATTAAAAACATATGTTTGCACAAAAACTTACAATAGCCACAAAGTGGAAACAAAATGTGATATACCCATAAAGTAGAATATTATTCAGCTATAAAGAGAAATACAGGCCAGACATGGTGGCTCATGCCTGTAATCCCAGCACTTTGGGAGGCTGATGCGGGCGGTTCACTTGAGGTGGGGAGTTCGAGACCAGTATGGCCAACATAGTGAAACCCCATCTCTACTAAAAATACTAAAAATACAAAAATTAGGTGGGTGTGGTGGTGCACACCTGTAATCCCAGCTACTTGGGAGGCTAAGACAGGAGAATCACTTGAGCCCAGGAAGTGGAGACTGTAGTGAGCCCAGATTGCACCATTGTACTCCAGCTTGGGTGATAGAGTGAGACTCCATCTCAAAAAAAAAAAAAAAAAAAAAAAATACAGATACATACCGCAAGATAGATGAACCTTGAAAATATTATACTAAGTGAAAGAAACCAGTTGCAAAAGGCCACAAATTGTACGCTTCTATTTACGTGAAATGTCTGAAATAGGAAAATCCGTGAAGATGGACAATAGATGGTGGTTATCAGAGATCGGAGGAGGGAAGGAAGGGGAGTGACTGCTTAACGGACAAAGAGTTTATTTGGGGAATCTTGAAAATGTTTTAGAAGTAGACTGTGGTTATGGTTCCACAACCTTGTGAATGTACTAAAACCTCCAAATTGTGTGTATATGTGTATGTGTATATGTATATGTATATGTATTTAAAGACAGGGTCTTGCTCTTTTACCCTGGGTGGAATGCAGTGATGTGATCATAGCTCACTGCAGCCTCGAACTCCAAGCCCTCCTCTCACCACAGCTTCCCAAGTAGCTGGGACTACAGGCACACACCACCATGCCTGGCTAATTTTTTGGATTCTTTGTAGGGACAGGGTCTCACTATGTTGCTCAGGCTGGTCTCAAACTCTTGGGCTCAAGCGTGACCCATCTGCGTCGGCCTCCCAAAGTGCTAGGATTACAGGTATGAGCCACCATGCTTGTCCTGTACACTTTTTAAAGGGTGAATTTTATGGTATATGAATTATATATCAAAAAACCCTAGCAAGTAGGAAGTACCCCATTTTGAGAATAAGGAATATGTTGCGGTTCCCTAATAGCAACTCCAGGATCAGTGATTTGCTAGGAAGACTCACAGGATCCCCAGTGAAAGGATGCAAGCAAAGTCAGCAAAGGGGAAAGGCACATGGGACAAAGTCTTGGGAAGACCAGGCACAAGCTTCCAGAGTCCTCTCCAGTGGAGCCACTCAGGATGCCTTTCACCCCAGCAATGAGTTATGACAACATGTGTGAAATGTTGCCAACCAGGGAAGCTGTTTAGAGACTCGGTGCCCCCGGTTTTTACAGGGGGCTGGTCACATGCACCCCTTGCCCAGCACATACCCAAATTCCAGGTTCCCAGAAGGAAAACAGGTATTCAACTTGTTGTTTGTTTATGCCCAGTGAGCCACTCATCAGTTAAAGGCGGGGGTCGTCCCAAAATCTAAGTTCCCAGGTGCCGGTCAAAGGCTAACCTTGTAAGCAGGCTTTTATAGGGACGGCAGTCAGGCCTGCTATGTTAGCTCATTTTTGCACAGTCCACCCACTTGACCCTTGGCCAAGGTGTCTTTACAGAAAATTTTTCAGTGGGGCACCATACAGCAGGGGGTGAGACCATCCTGCAATATTGATCTCAGTTATGTCCTTTAGGGGTTCTGGGACTTAGCAGTTAAAGCAAATCTCATTAACCAGAAAGTCTGTCTTTTTTCTTCTCTTTCTTTCTTTTCTTTCCTATTTATTTATTTATTTATTTTGGAGACAAGGTCTTGCTCTGTTGCTCTTAGCCACGCTGGAGTGCAGTGGCATGATCATGGCTCAACGCGTCCTCAACCTCCTGGGCTTAAGTGATCATCCCACCTAAGTCTCCTGAGTAGCTGGGACTATAGGTGTGTGCTACCACACCTAGATAATTTTTTTTTTTTTTGTAGAGATAGGGTCTCCCTGTGTTGCCCAGGTTGGTCTCAAACTCTGGGACTCAAGCGATCCTCCCGCCTCGGCCTCCCAAAGTGCTGGGATTACAGGCTTAAGCCACTGCACCTGGCCTTAGAAAGGTCTGTTTGGGACAGCCAGGTGACCTCCTCCATCAGTTGCTATATGAATCTTTTTACCTGGCCCGTGGCATCAACTCAGGCCCAGAACAGCTCTGGCCAGTAAGTTGAAACTGATCTGAATGCCTTCCAGGCCTGACGCAGTGTCATGATAATCATGGCACGCACATAGGAACTGTGATCCCCAAGGGCTCATGTGGTTCCCTGGAAACAAAGAGTTGAAGATGTTAGGGCACACTAGCAGGGTTATCATTGGTCAGGCAGTCACCAACGTGGCCTCCCACTGTGGTGACTGGTACCTCAGGGTGCTCAGTCCAGTGCAGGTAATTCAGCTCCGTCCCAGGTTTTATGGGGGCTGCCTGAGGCCATCAGTCCCAAACAGTTCTACCAGTGACCCTACTTCATCTTCTTGGCAAGTGCAGACGGCATCTGGAGGTGTTCTGTGGGACATACAGGAGCTGGCCCCACCCCTGCCAACTCATAGTCATGCTGTCACGTGCCATCTAGGCTCAGCCATGGGTCTGAGCCCAAGGTGCTTTCAGCACAGGGAGTTTTCCTTCAGGAAGGAGAGCGCTTCCAGGAGCAGTTATGAAAAACAGAGCACAAATGTCCTTCCCTATCCCTGTATCACCCCAGGTGTTGGATTATGTTGTTTTTCTCCAGGTCCTATTCAATAATCAAAACTTTACATTTTCTTAATCATCCCCTACTCTCACCCAGACCTTTCAAAGAAAGGACAAAAGCATTTGTTAAAACCCATTTTTAATCCAACTTAACCAGAAAGATATATTGTGTTCAGGTATTAGGCTAAAATCCTAAATTTTCAAAACATTTTAAAGTAGGTTTGTATCACCTCTGAGCCCTTTCATCTTGATCATTTATCCAGTGAGCAGCCTAGAAAGGATCAATCCCTTTCCAGTGACAGCTGCATTTAGCAAATTGCTTTACTGACACGTGTAGTGAGAGAAAGGTAGAGGAAATATAGTCAGGATCTCAGTCTATTACAAACTGCAGCTACTCCAGAAAATTAAACACAAAACATCAACAGCAGTGACACTTTCTCCAGAGGGGATGGAGTTCAATCTGTCAGGGATTGCTGAAAGAGTCACATCGCCTGTGATGTGACTTGGAGCTTTTGTAGGAGTCATGTGTTGGGAATATAATCAGACTCCGCATCAGAAATATAGAGCCAATGAGCAGCTTGACTGGATGGTCCCATCAGAGAACAAGCCCTGTCTTGTGGGCACTTGTATGTGACCCAGTCTAGCAGCATCCAGGATCTTTTTATAGTTTTGGGCCCCATGAAGGGCATTCTATATTTATAGTGGTCCCTAGTCAATTTTTAAAACTCAGAAAGCGTGTCTTTTTCTAGAAATTGCCTGTCTTTTCATAGCTCCCTTTTTCCAGAGGCTCCATTACAAAAGTCCTAGCAGAAAAATCTACTACAGAGACTTGTTCTGATTCTAATATTTGGAGTTTAAATTCCAACCTACCCACTGCTGGCAAAAAGCAAGGAAGCTGTGTCTCACTCTCACTTGGAGGAGAAAACAAAAACCAAAGGCATCTCTTGGGCTGCGCTTTTTCCTTCACTTTAGCTAGCGTGCTACAGCCAAAAGCAGCCAGGGGGATCCATTGAGCCAACTCTCTTGGAGCTGCATTGGTCATCTTTAAATTCCATAGGTCACTTTTACCTCTAGCAACAGCTCAGCTGCTGTTTTATACCATGGATAACTTCATAGCCACCCAGGCATCACAAGTTTGTTCTCCTCCCTTTTGTCCTTTTCCCAAAATGTGATTTTACCGTGTTTCAGCGAATTAGGGTCATTCCAGCAATTCCCATTTCTGACACTAGTTGTGCCAGAGTTCCCCAAGACCACCCCAGGTTTGATGATTGACTAGGAGAACTTGGAAGAATCAACATAGTTGCATTCATGACTGACTTATTTTTTCTTTCTTAGCTTTTTTTTTTTTTTTTTTTTTTTTTTTTTGAGATGGGGTCTTTCTCTGTCACCCAGGTTGGAATGTAGTGGTGTGATCTTGACTCACTGCAGCCTCAACTTTCCAGGCTTAAGCGATCCTCCTGCCTCAGCCTGCAGAGTAGCTGGGACTACAGGAGTGTGCCCCCATGCCATGCTAATTTTGTGTTTTTTGTAGAGCTGGGGTTTCACCATGTTGCCCAGACTAGTCTCAACCTCCTGAGCTCAGGTGAGCCACCATGCCCAACCCATGGCTGTGATTTATTATAGTAGGAGGAAACATGAAAAAACTAGCAAATGGAGGAGGTGCATGGGATTAAGTCCAGAGGTAACCAGGTGCAGATTTCCAAGAGTCTTCTCCCAGTGGAGTCACACGGGATGAGCTTAATTCCTCTACCAACACGTTGTGACAACATGTATGAAATGTTGCCAGGCTGGGAAGTTGGCTAGAAACTCATTGCCTAGGGTTTTTACTGGGGGCTAGATATGTAGGTATCCCCTCCCAGGCACATACCCAGATTCCAGACTCCCACAAGAAAAGCAGATGCTTAGCATAAACCATACTGTTTGTATAAACAGTTTAGACATCCATCAGTTAATGGTGGGAACCCTTCCTGAAATCTAAGTTCCCAGATGCCACCCAAGGGCTACCCATGTAAGCAGGCCTTTCCAAGCACAGCAGTCAGATCTGCTATGTTAACCCTTTTGTGCACAAGGAAATCAATGTTTAGAGAGGTTAAATAACCTGCCCAAGGTGATCCAGCTATTAGGTGGCAGTGCTAGGTCTCTGTGGCTCCAAAGTATAGACTTTTAACCCCTGAAATAAACTTGAATAAACTTGACTCCTGAGTATGGGAGCCTTTTTAGGGTAAGATCCATCCTGTGTACAATAGAAAAGTATGATATTGATTGCCCAGGTCATATTTTAACAGAAATGTGTTCTTCCCACCTCTGCTCTACTTTTTCCATCTGTACTCTCTGTCCTTCTGGCTGTTATACTGTAACTTTCTAGTATTCCCTGTCTGTCCTCGTTTAGCTCCTCTTGGCCCTCTTAACCCTTCTTACAAGTCTTCACCCACTCGAAACATTGAGAAGAAGAAAGCTACATCTACATCTATATCTGGCGCAGGAGATGTTGGGAAAGAAGCCCTTGCAGGAGGAGAGGCCTCTCTGGTAGGTTTAAAATCACCCACCCACTCACTCCTACAAACCGTGTTCTGTCTGATGGTGTTATTACTTCTGTGCTTGACCTGGGCTCTCTGTTTCCCTCAATCTCCTGGGACTGCTCAAAGCAGGAAAGGGTAGATTTAGTTCAAAATTTTAACCAACCTTTGAAAATCACTTAAGTTTTTGCATCATCTTAAGTCTTAGTACCTTGGAGCAAATTCTTAATGATGTCCTTGTCACAGCCTGCCCTCCAGAGGACAGGAATCAGAAGGAATGTTCTAAATATCCTCTGTCTTCCTCTTTATGGATATCTGATTCTGGGTCAGTCTTGCCTGTGCACCTAACTAGAACTGAGAATCTACATCAACTTTTACCTACAAAAGTAATCATTAAATATTCTTTTGAGATGAGGTCTTTTTATGTTGCCCAGGCTGACCTTGAATTCCTAGGCTCAAGTAATCCTCCTGCCTCAACCTCCTGAGTAGCTGGGACTACAGGCACGTGTTACTATGCCAAGCTTAAACATTTTTGATGGCATACGGGTACTATCAGTAAATTAAATGTTGAGCAGGCACCCCCAATTGTGTCTGTTTATTTAGAAATTACACAATGCCATACTACTTTTGTTAGTTATCAATTGCTACTTAACAAATCACCTCAAACCTTGGCAGCTTAAAATAACAAATATCTATTAACTCATGGGTTCTTTGGGTCAGAAATTCAGAGTGACTTAGTGGTTCTGGGTACAAGGTCTTTCATGAGGTGTGGTCAAGATGTTGGCCAGGGCTGCATCATCTGAAAGCACAGCTGGGCCTCGTCTGAGATGGCTCATTCATGGCTGTTGGCAGGAGGCCTCAGTTCCTCACTGCATGGGCCTGTCCATAAAGCTGCTTGAGTATCCAAATGATGCCACAGCTGGCTTCCCTCCAGGCAAGTAATCGGGAAGCTGCAGTGTCCTTTAAGTCACTAAGATCAACCCACGCTCAAGGGGAGAGGAATTAAGCCTCACCTGTTGAAGGGAGGAATATCAAATAATGTCAGGACTTATTTTAAAACTACTGCATTTTATAATGCCATATTTTCTTTTCAAATCTGTTGTGGCTCTTAGAAGTGCATGTTTTAGACTCTTGGATTTTACTATACAGTGGATTACTATTGAAAGGGATTGATGGATGTGAGTGTGGGGGCCAAATGAGGACTTGCTACAGAAAAGTGTGATAGGGAGAGAAGGGAGCTAACCTTTGTGGATCACTTTCTGCCGGCTAGGCACTGATGTCTGTTCCCTTTTGCCAGGGGAGGTAATGGGAAGACCTACAGGACTAGATGGGGTTGCAGACCCCATTATACCATGTATACCATCAGGGGCCACAGCTCACTGTGTTGGATGTTATAACCACATTTTCACCCACTTGTAATTTTTTGTAGTGATTTTACATCTTTGTACTCTTTTCAGTTCCTATATATCTAGGACCATAATATGATTGTGTTGTTAACTCTTTGAAAGATAACAAGGAGAAGGAAATCTTTGCATTTTGAGGCTGATTTTTTTTTAACTGGATAATGTAAATGTGATGACCTCATCCTGCCTCCCTGCAAAGATGCCTGTCATGTGAAGCATTATAGCTTCATATCGATCCCTCTGAAAGAAAGCTGTGCATTGTTCCATCTGGAATATTAGTCTCATAAACTGTGGAAGTAGGGCCAGTCACGGACTGTAGCTATCCTGTGTCCCCTACAGGTGGAGAAGGTGAAGCGGGGGCAGCGAACAGCAACTTCTCTTCCCGTTGTGAACTTCGGGTCCCCTCTGAGAAGATGCGAGTTTTCTGGAGGCATTCCTAAGAGACCATCTTCTCCTGTGATATCCAAGTAAGCATGTCTCCCCTTTGCCAGACAGTCTGACTGTCATGAGTCTGTTTGCTCGGGCTTTGTGCCATCCAGTGTTACAGCTCCTGCTCCCCCGTGAGGCATGGCCAGCCAGAAGAGGTAAGTGAGAGACATGTTGGCCTTGGAGTTACCTGGCTTGACTCTCTGTGTATCTTCTGAGTGAAAGATCCTTTGCTAAGGGACCCCAGTGCATAACAGGGCTTTTATTTACCAAGATGATGCATTCAGCATTTTCTCTTTAGGTCCATGAATTCCATTTTCTGGTATTCTTCTTTTTCCAGTTGCATTTGGATTTCAGTGATTGCATTGGGACTTGGGCTCCTCCTCACATTCTCCCCCACCTTGTTGTCTCTCTCTTTAATAGAGAGACAATAATAACTTGTCAGCCATGATCAGCAGTATTTTAATGAAGCAAATATATATGTGTGTGTTTTTAAGAAATGGGGTCTGACCAGGCGCGGTGGTTCACACCTGTAATCCCAGCACTTTGGAAGGCCAAGGCGGGCGGATCACGAGGTCAGGAGATCAAGACCATCCTGGCTAACACGGTGAAACCCTGTCTCTACTAAAAATACAAAAAATTAGCCAGGTGTGGTGGCGGGCGCCTGTAGTCCCAGCTACTCAGGAGGCTGAGGCAAGAGAATGGCATGAACCGGGGAGGCAGAGCTTGCAGTGAGCCGACATCATGCCACTGCACTCCAGCCTGGGTGACAGAGCGAGACTCCATCTCAAAAAAAAAAAAAAAGAAAGAAAGAAAAAAGAAATGGGGTCTTGTTGTATTGCCCAGGCCTGGAGTGCACTGACTGTTCACAGGCATAATCACACCACGCTATAGCCTCCAACTCCTGGGCTCAGGTGATCCCCCCGCCTCAGTCTCCCAAGTAGCTGGGACCTCTGTACCCATGCACCCTATGCCACCATGCCTAATTTTTGTTAGGAACTAGGTAAACTCACCAATGAAACCATGTGACTGAAAAATTTACGATAACTATGTGACCACCAACGTCTTAAGTCATTAAAATATTTTACTGGCAGTAACTGACAAGACTCAGTAAATAACTCAGTCCAGTAGGACAGTGGAAACCATCTTTAGTAGGACAGAGAAAGAAAGAGAAATATGATTTAATTTGGGAAAATAGGAAAGTTTTTATATAGAGGGAATCATATGAACCTTATTCAGTGTATCAGTTTAGTTCAGAGAATGTTGGATAAAACACAAATTTAATGAACACTTGCAAATTTGTCAAAAATATTTAAAGATGACATCAGCTCTTAAATTTCCAACGTGTTGCTTTCTAACAGAGACTTTTTCACTACTATTAATATTTTTTTTAGAGATCACTATGGTTTTGATACACTACTAATACCTGCCATTGATGTGTTTGTCCTCCATAAGGAAAATCTTTCCATAGCACATCACTGAATTAAAAGCCCACTTTTCTTTCTTTCTTTATTTTTAGTTCATGCAACCTCTCTGTGCTAGTATTGTCCATCTTTGGTTATGGTATTGTTATCTTACCACCTCTTTAAATTTATTGTGTGGGCTCTACAATCCATTTCCCTCTGTCTTATTTCTGAGCCTTTTTCAGCTTCCACCCATGCATCATTACTCTGGTGTTAATTTTGGACATTTACATTAACAGAAAAGCCTAGTTTATACTGAGACTTTTACAGATTCCACCCTCTCTCTTGCTGGAATTTGGACTCATGGTTCCTTCAGGGATACTAGCTTGCAAGTTTCGTCATCGTTATTATAAATGGTAGTATCTTCTATAGAAATGAGAATTATAGGTATACCTAATTTTGTCGTACTTTGCACTTCGCAAATACTGTTTTTGTTGTTGTTGTTGTTGTTGTTTGTTGTTTTACAAATTGAAGGTTTGTGGCAACCCTGCATTGAACATGTCTATTGATGCCATTTTTCCAATAGTGTGTGCTCACTTCTTGTCTCTGTGTCACATTCTGGTAATTCTCAAAATATCCAAACTTTGTTATTAAAGCCATCATGGTGATCTGTGATCAATGATCTTTGATGTTACTGTTGTAATTGTTTTGGGGTGCCATGAATTGCACCCATGTAAGATGGCAAACTTAATGTGTGTGTTCTGACAGCTCCACTGACAGGCCATTCCCCCATCTCCCTCTCCTCGGATCTCTCTACACCCTGAGACACAGTAATATTGAAATGAGGCCAATTAATAACCCAACAATGGCCTCTTAGTGTCCAAGTGAAAGGAAGAGCCACAGATCTCTCACTTTAAATCAAAAGCTAGAAATGATTGAGCTTAGTGAGGAAGGCACATCAAAAGCTGACATGGACTGAAGGGTAGGCCTCTAGCACCAGTTAGCCAAGTCGTGAATGCAAAGGAAAAGTTATTGAAGGAAATTAAAAGTGCTACTCCAGTGAACACACAAACCATAAGAAAGCGAAACAGCCTGTATTAGTAAGGGTTCTCCAGAGGGACAGAACTAATAGGATAGATGTATATATAAAGGGGAGTTTATTAAGGAATATTGACTCACACAATCACAAGGTAAAGTCCCACAATAGGCCATCTGCAAGCTGAGGAGCAAGGAAGCCAGTCCGAGTCCCAAAACCTCAAAAGTAGGGAAGCTGACAGTGCAGCCTTAATTCTGTGGTTGAAGGTCCAAGAGTCCAAAAGCTGAAGAACTTGGAGTTCGATGTTTGAGGGCAGGAAGCATCCAGCATGGGAGAAGTAGGCCAGAAGACTAAGCCAGTCTAATCGTCCTTCCATGCTCTTCCACCTGCGTTTTTTTTTGTTTGTTTGTTTGTTTGTTTGTTTGAGATTGAGTGTTGCTCTGTTGCCAGGCCGGAGTGGAGTGGCACGATCTCAGCTCACTGCAACCTCCGCCTCCGCCTCCCAGGTTCGAGCAATTCCCCTGCCTCAGCCTCCCAAGTAGCTGAGATTACAGGCATGCACCACCGTGCCCAGCTGATTTTTTTATATTTTAGTAGAAACGGGGTTTCACCATATTGGCCAGGATGGTCTCCATCTCCTGACCTTGTGATCCACCCACCTCGGCCTCCCAAAGTGCTGGGATTACCTGCTTTTATCCTAACCATGCTGACAGCTGATTAGATGGTGCCCACCCACGTTGAGGCTAGGTCTGCTTCTTCCAGTCCACTGACTCAAATGTTAATCTCCTTGGCAACACCCTCACAGACACACCCAGGAACAATACTTTGCATCCTTCAATCCAATCTGGTTGAAACTCAATATTAACCATCACAAGTCCACCTCTTGTCAACTTGAACCCATACACATCTCCTGAGATCATACATAATCTTCAAATAAAGACAAATAATAAGGTCATAATTACACCTATCCTTCCTACAACTGGAAGCACACCAATCCCCAACCCAAATGCTGTTACATAAAGTTAACACTTAAATGCTAATATGATGTCAATAAATCTTATGTCACATGATAAAGGAAAAAGAAAGGAAATGAAGGTAGTTTCTTCATCCACCATGACAGTGGATAAGGCATTCCATGGGTCCACAGATGGTAGTCTTGGCAGAAGCATTGCATGCAGGATAGACAAACCTATATCCAGAGTAAGTGTCTACATGCACAAACATGTTCTTAACAAAATAAGAAAGAAATACTCATGCAATTACAGTCCTCGTTTCTGCAACTGGTCCTGTGATCGTAGCTGGTATTGATGACTCCCTTCTTCTACTATCCATTCTGTATTCTCTTTGCCTTCAGCAAGCACCTCAGCAGGTCGTTGACTTTTACCTGGTGGAGTGACCCAAAGTTTCATTAGTGAAGGGTCTGGGCCATTTGTAGTCCTGCCTAGATTGGGCTGTTGTAGTGTTCCATTGATCTTAATCACAGGGCATGGTAATACTAAGAGATGCCCTAAGGGATCTCCTGTATTCCACCATATTCTTCCTTACCTCCATTGTGGAGTAGTAGACTGATTTCGTCTTGATAGTCTGGGTCAATCACCCCAGTCAACACTAACTGTCTTCTTAGCCTGTTGACTTAGAGGTAGGAGGAGCCTAAAGTGTCCAGGTGGCAATCTTTGTTGTGTGGTGGCAACATTCCTCCTGCTGCAACTAAGACCTCTAGGCCAGCAGAACATAATGTTGTGGGAACAGGAAGCAAAAATTTTGCTAATGGATCTCTAGGGGTGATGGTGAGTGGTGTCACTTCCATTTTCACCCCTTGATTCCTGGACCCATGAATCCTGGCTATGGGAGAAACAGTACCATATATAGGATGTTGATTCAGAACATACACAGCCTTCTGAAGAATTTTGCCCCAGCCCTGCGAACTATTGTCACCTAGTTGGCATTGTAATTGTGACTTCAAAAGGCCATTCCACTATTCTATCAATCCAGCTGCTTCAGGATAATGGGGAATATGTTAAGACCAGTGAATTCCATGAGCATGAGCCCACTGCTGTACTTCTGTAGCCGTAAAGTGAGTGCCCTGTTCAGAGGCAATCCTATGTGGAATACCATGATGGTGGATAAGGCATTCCATGGGTCCACAGATGGTAGTCTTGGCAGAAGCATTGTGTGCAGGATAGACAAACCTATATCCAGAGTAAGTATCTATTCCAGTGAGTACAAACTGCTGCCCTTTCCATGATGGAAGAGGTCCAGTATAATCAACCTGCCACCAAGTAGTTGACTGATCACCTTGAGGAATGGTGCATATCGAGGGCTCAGAATTGGTCTCTGCTGCTGGCAAATTGGGCACTCAGCAGTGGCCGTAGCTAGGTCAGCCTTGGTGAGCGGAAGTCTGTGTTGCTGAGCCCGTGTGTAACCTCCATCCCTGCCACCATGGCCACTTTGTTCATGGACCCATTGTGCAATGACAGGGGAAAGAGGCTGAGTGGTGTCCATAGAACGAGTCATCCTATCCACTTGATTATTAAAATCCTCCTTTACTGAGGTCACCCACTGGTGAGCATTCACATGGGATACAAATATCCTCAGTTTTTGA